TTGTCAATATCTAGGGCTTCAGAACCCTCTGATAACCAGATCCAAATAGTCAAAATAAAAGGGAAGAAAAGGAAGACTCCAAATTCAATGCTTCATTCTTTATCCATATATGACACACAGTACTGCAGAAAGATATAGCCTTACTACTTAGATAGCTAAGTTCTGAAAGAAAGCAAACATTCTTTACATTCATGTATGTGCAAACACCGCATAGATAACTGTATAGACTATGCAAAACATGTTTTAAAATGCATTCACTCTCATGTTTAAACAGTGCTGTTAAAAAGGGCATTGGTAGACCACACTGTTAAGTGAAAGATACTAAGCAACATTAGTTGGAGTTAAAGTGCATCTACATGGCTTCCTTTTGAACATGGTTTGGGAACTGCAGCTCATGCAAAACACAGGAAAGTCTGAACATATATCACTAGTTCAGACTTACATGCACTGCCTGCCTGGACTTTCCTGAGCCCAATTCAAGGTACTGGTTTTGACTTACAAAGCGGTATGTGGCTCAGGACTACACGACCTAACAGAGCACCTCTCTTGGTATTTCCTTACCCACACAGCATAATCACCATCTAATGCCTTCTCCAAGAGAAGTCTGGAGGATGGCTCAAGCGATAGGGCCTTCTTAATGCTGGCTTCCAAAGTATGGAATGCTTTTTCAAGTGAGATCTGCTTTGTGGCCACATTATCATCTTTTTGGAACCATGTTCCTCCACTCTTGGGCATTTTACAGCATACAATAGGTTTTTTTAGTGGGTCCTGGGATTTTTTAACTTGTTGACTGTTAACATTGTTTATATTTGTTTTGTATAAATTACTATATTGTATTTTAAGGTTTAAATCTTTATAAATTGCTCAGAATGCTTTGGCTGTTGGTGGTGTAGAAATGTAAAAAAAAAAAAAAAATTAAGTGTTGCATAACATGGTCATGGAAAATAATCAAGAATGCAACAGGGATCACTCTCAGTCCAGTATCTTGTTTTCAATGGCAGGATGAAACCTGTGAAAGTTAGGCTCTTCATAAAGGAGAGCTCCTCTGGACAGAGAACATTTTCTACACCACTATGCAACTATGGCCTACGTATCCCACATTTGCAACCAGAGGAAGTGGCAGAAGGTGTCAGAGGTCCTCTTATTAGAAATTAAGGCTTTGCACAAATAACTTAACTCTAGTGCTGTGGCAGAGTGACATGTATGTACATGTATGTTGCAAATATTTTCTCCTACTGAATAATGAACCATGCCATCATACTCATTTTGGGAGGGAGGGATGTGCAAAAGATGGTAGAACTGTTCAGCCCCCAATTGGAATGTAGGAGCACTCCCCTGAAAACTAGAAAAAAATACAGTTCCCTCACAGCTACATACCTGCTCTTCAGTACTCTTCCTTTTTATCTTTTATAGCCTGATTGCAGTCCCAATCTATTGCTGATTTGACAGTATTTAAAACAATTCTTCCTAAAAGCAGTGAGGTTATCTATGAATTAGATTTGGCCAGATGATAATAACACTGAAAATAATTGAAACTTGCAGGCAATGCCCACAGTGTGAATAGCTTTGTTTCCCTTTAGTTGATATCATTACTTACTTTACTATCTATGTACCAGATTCACTATTTCTTGAAGAGAGGTGGTGATTTAAATAGAGCACTACCAAACAGCAACTGACTTGGGCTGCAAACCGCAGTAAAACAGCACAAAAATGGGGGACTCTATCACATCTACTTTTCACATTTGAAGTCTAAGAAAAGTAGTTTCTCAGCACTACTTAGTACCCATGGACCTCAACTCACTGACACTACACAGAGGGATCCTAAAATTGCTGAGATTCTAAAATAATGGTACAAGGTTTGCCAAGGCCTATGCGGAGTGCTGTCTAGATCTTTTCAACATATATCCTCTGTCCTACATTTTCATGAAACTTAGTTTGCCAGGAGCACTGGTTACTACTAATTCTTCTCATAATATACTCTGACAAACATCACCAGACCTCTCTATCCACTTTCTCCTTTCCAAGTACCAAGATCTCTCTTCCTTCTTAGAGAGTAAACATGTGGTAACAAATTAAAAATGCTAAAGAAAATAGAAAGAAGAAAAATTATTCACAGATATGCAACAAAACTCAATGACCACTATGGTCAGGCCATAACTCAAAAGCATTCTATGTTTATTCATTAGATGAAAATGATAGGAAACAGATTAAAACCACCACAGAACAGTAAATTTGGGACTGTTTGACAAAATATATTTTAGTGCAGAATGACAGAAAAAAGGAAAAGCTTCACTACAAAGATACAAATGAAGGCATTTGTTGGGAAAGTCTCCCACCTGAGTAGTACACATAAAACAGAACTTGCACTGTAGAATTTGAGACCTCTTAAGAGAAAACCTGTCTAGTCCACAAATGGCCTAGCTAGTGACCTCTAGGCCAAATAATTTTTATATGGAACCTGGTGATCCTGCTAAATTTTAAAAAGTATGGTAAGTGTGTAAAAGTAAAAGAGTATGATAAAATATTTGCCTTCTGTTTCATTTATAAAGAGAAACTACCCCCTGAAAGATTATCAAAATGTCGTATGTTGCAGCTTTTAAAAAAACCAAACAAACCTCCATCCTGTCTAGGGGGAAAGCAACCTCTTGCTTTAGGCTGACCTGCCTGTGATGTTTCTGACAGATAGAGAAATGTGTTCTGTTTTACTGTTACCATCTCTTTCAGATATGCATTTACATATGCTTGTGTGACTGAGCACATGTACTCCACAACTGAGCCCTGACAGTTCTGACTCCTACATGATATGGAACTTGAACAGTCTCAAAGTAATTGGTTATGGTAGTAAAACTAATTTCAGGCCCTGAATTATCAACTAAAGATAAAGGATTCCCTGAGAATAAAGTCCCTGGCTGTCTTGGATATCTAGGCCAAATCAAGTGATGTGAAAACCATGGTGTGATGACAAGGAAGGTGTTGGGAGTGTTGTGTTAAGATGGCAGCAATCTGAAAAAACCGTTTTTCCTAGGGCCTGTACATGTGCTATTATTGCAATGTGGAGGGCATTTTAAGTCACTTCACAACCAGCCACTGCCATCATCATGCAGTTCAGATCACACAGTTTTCTTCCACCACTCTAAGTGTTGTGTTTGTTGTGACAAGAAAAAATCACTTGATCCATGGCATGGAGAGAACTGCATGACACAGATAGTTAACCATGCATCTGTAGCTTGCCAGGGGGAATAACTGACTGGGTCTTTTTTAACATGTATACTCAGTCTAATATACACCAATTCAGAACTAATATTCTGTTATCAATGGCATAACGTCTCCAGATTTTACCATATGGCATGGTAGCCCTTGCTGTAAACTTGATATAAATAAAATACTCTTTGGATATTAGAAGTAGTTTAGAAACATTATTAGTAAGATTTTTCAAAATACACATGGAGAAAAATGAATGGCTCCTGAGGAAGTTAATGTCTTTCTGAAGCACACTGAGATTGTTAAAATACTTTTAGGTAATTGAGAATATCTTCTTTCCTGCTTTTTACATAATCCATGTTTTGCTCTTTTTTTTTCTCTCCCCTTTTTATAAAATGTTGCCACAATGGTAAAAGGTAAGAGGCATGCTGGCATGTCTTGGAAACTACATGTTCAGAATCAAGTGCCACAGAAAGTTTGAGTACATAGAAACTGAACTGCTATCTAAATATTAAACAAGTCCCTACAAAGCTGGTAGCCCTTTTGGGAATACACAGTTCTTGTCTCACACAAGTAAATTTAGCCAGTCTTTGCCAGGGGGAGTTGCTCTTTATAAAAGGATTGTGTGAAGAGAGCAGCTGTGGGTTCATAAATCCCTTGATAAGATATGAGGATGGAATTTTTGTAACTCTCTCTCACAGTTTCCAGTACAGAATCTGGAGAGCCTGCAAAAAAAGCAACTGAGCCCTGCTGTGAAGTGCTGGTAACAATAAAGAAAAACCTCCTCAATGTATCTTACTGGGGACTAAGATGCATTTTCTGAAAAACTGTTAGGGAATTTCACAGGACCTTAAAATGTCCTCCTGCTTTCCCACGGTGTACAGAGAATTAGCACCAAGTGAAGACGCATAACTAGGTGCTGGGGCAATATTGCTGAGCCCCATCTGTTTGCTTATAGTATCTGGTTCACATGCTGCTTTTTGAGGTGGTATTTATGTGGTGCGATCATGTGCAGGCCTCTTTTGGATGGTATTTCTGTGAACCAGATCCACTGGAAAACTAATGCTACCTAGTCAAAGAAAAGAGCTAGTTGAAATATTTTCCTCTGAACTGATAACTGAGCCTCTCTAATGCAGATGCAAATGTCCATAAATACCTCACCTTGAAAAAATAAAAACTTTGGAGGCAAATGCATGAGCACATTTTTTATTCCTGTGCGCCCCACCTCAATAAATCCCAGCATATTCTAACATGCCAAAGTAACATATGAGGACTATACCATAAACACAACAACTTGTGAATTTGCCTGTTTACTGAAATCAAGTAAAATCAAAGTCAGTTTGCACTGAGATGCTGATACATCCATCAGCATCTCAAAATCATCTTTCTTTCTGATGCCAGGTTCATAACAAGGCACAGAAAGGTACTTAACCTCTGTCTCTCCAAACTGAATGTGCAGAAAGACCACATTATACTTATCTCAAGCATACTGTTGCAAACGTAACTGTACTGTTCCATAGTAACACCCCTTCCTGAAGTCCCAAAGTCCCCAGTTAAATGCTTCCAACAATGTTTACACCCAAAGATTTCATCCTGCTCCCCTGACTTAGCTAAATCCCCTTGTTATGAGTCCGCTATCCTGTAGTGAGCTCATTTCTCACAAAGATCCAACACTTCCCTTTCCCCCACCCACACACATTTCACCCTTCTTCACCCTGAATGGCAAACCCTAAGCAGAGAATATTAAATGGGGAGGAGGAGAAGGTGGAAGAGGAAAGGACGGGCAGAGCCTTTGTGACCTGATCCGCAGCTGAAGCGAGAATTCCTGCAGGTGAAGAGCCTGGGGCAGGGGCAGCAGCCGAGAGGAAGAGGAAGAGGAGGAGAAGGAAAGGCTGCCAGCCCTGTAGAAATTCAGTCCTAGTTTGGCAAGAGATGTCTCTGTTTATCCCTTTGCCTCCTCCCCATACTGCAAATCATGACAGCCCCTTTTAAAATAACAAGCGGCACTTCCTCCTACAGCAGCTATGGGGGTGGTTACCTCAAGAGGGGGCGGGAATGGTGAGAGCAAGAGAGAGGCACACATGCTTAACTGACCTCAGCTAAGTTCAGCTCACACGATTCTTGCAGAATAAGGAATATACAACTAAGCTATACTAACCAGTCATTCTGTGTTTTACTTAATTCAAACCTTGCCCACAGACTTAAACAAGGACAGGAGAGAAAACGGAACTACATAGGCACACAAGTTGATTCAGAAATATTTTCGGTTGGATCTAGATCGAAACATACATAGAGTAAATGCATTAAAGCAATGGGAAATTACTTATGACCAACTTAAATCCTATTGATTTAATGGGTATATTCTCTGTATGATTAAATACGGATGCAACCTTAACTGGCTTAACAAACTTCACAATATGGCAATCACATCATCGCTCTTGGGAAATGATTTTGCATTCCTGCTTCTGGATGTCTCCCATTTTGCTTATCCTTGCCAGCATCAGCTTGGGTTTGTAGTACCACAATAAGAAGTCAGAGAGAGCTTTATGCACGACACCAGAGCTGGACAAACCTCACAAAATAGTCCTCCCTCCCTGCCATTTCTCATGAAACATCTCTGCTTTTTTAACTGAAGCCTTCCCTTGAGCTGCTTTTGCTTAGTAAAAGGTCACCCTCCAACACCATTTCCTCCCTTTCTTTAGTTAGCACTTCCTCTGCTTAAGCAGACCTTACTCTGAGATATAGCTTTCATTTACTAGTGGTTTTCCTTTACCTCACAGTGTAATATAGATATTTGGTTGCCCAAGGTGAAGAACAAGCGTCCCCCAATTCCCATTCCTTCAGAGGAGTCATAGATGAACCTGACTTTAACAACAGTGATGGGACAGCATCTTTCTGTGTAGCTGAAGGCAGCAGGCTAATTTAGGAGACATAGAGCAGGCTACATGGCACAAAGGTTTCTCCTCCGCCTATTTGCATCTACCTTTCAGCATCTTTGCTTGAGGCAACTGCTTTGCAATGCCTAATGGTAGGGCCACTCCTGGGGTTCTAAAGCAATTATGCTACTGTTGCAGCAACTATTACCTGAGTGAAAGGGGGCAAACTCAGAGCCCCATCTGCTGCAAGCACAGAACATTATGATAATTTCATTACTATACTGTCCCACAGCAAAAGCTCTTTAGGCAGTTTACAACAAAAATGCCATCAGGTAATGTTCTGCATCAGTCTTCCCCAGCTTAGCACCCTCTAGATGTGCTAGACTTCAACTCAGAATTAAGGGAGCTGCAGTCCAGAACATCTGCAGGGCCCCAGGCTGGGGAAAGGTTTTCACCATGACAACAAAATTGCTTTTCTGAGAAGATTCTTGCACAGGCCAGGAACAAGCATTAGATACTATTCTGTAAAATAGATCCTTTCTCTCCACCTTCTCACCCACATTATAACAGTTAAATTCTGAAGGGAAGCAAGCTTTGCAGTTCTATGTCCTCAGCACAAATGCACATATCTTCCAAGTAACCTTTGTTATGATTCTCTTTCATTACCTTAAATTTAATTTTGCCCTGTGTTTGTACTAGATTGCATCTTAAAGCTGGACAAGGATTCATGGGTAAAGTGAGCCAAGAACAAATTTAGATAAGGTGAGTATGGGCTTACCCTTGTTAACAACAGGTAAGTGTGCATGTGTACACTGCAGCAGCAAAATGATTTATGGTGCAAGCTTGACATTATTCAAAAGGATGACAAATTGGCTTTATTCTCCCTGCATTTGCTCCTTCATTCTCACTAATGAAGAGTTCTATCAAAGTGTTCTTCTTAACTATTTATCTCTTAACTAATTAACATTCCATACAGAAATACATTTAATATTTAATTAAGATAATATTTCCTTCTTCACTAAGTAACAGAAAAATAATTTATATATAAGAAAGCAGTTTAAAAGGATAAACTGAAAGTATGGTCAACAACAATGTTGAAAATTAAATATCAGGTTAAAAATTCCTACTGTAATAAGCAAGTAACAAATTATTCCTAATTCTGGAAATTCTAGGGTCCCCTGAGCATTTTGAGAGTTCCTCATTTTTCTGTGGCCCCACTTTGACACCTGTACTGTCAGCAATTGCCACCTGAGTTTTGTGTTAGACAGAATGATGGACCACCTCTTCACATGTAAAGTGATTTTTTTTCAAACAAAAACGAAACACAAGACATCCATGAGTAAGGGAACCCTAATTGAGATGTCACCCACTTATTGATGGGGTTCAGACAACACACTATGACATAGTAGCTACTTACCATTGTTGATCTGTCATGTCATCTGAACTCAGTTGTGGTATTTCACTATAGGAAGTTTGGTCTTTAGAAACCATAAGGAACAACAGTACCACAATGGCTTGTCATGTTGTCTGAAACCAGGATCATGATTTCCTGGTTTGCAACTGCCACAGAATCCCCTAGTGTAACCACTGTAGGAGCCACTCCAGGCATCCAGCCTCTGTCTAGTAACAGATGTGCAGACCAATAAGGAAGAGGCAAGTGACTTAGGCAGGGAGAGATGCAGGTTGGGATTGAATTTTAGGCATGGTGGCTGATGTACCTACAGCAGGAGGACTGTGGGAACAGGATGGAAAACACAATAACTACTTGTGTTAGAAACTGTTTGTTTGTCTGTTGGGTGTATCATGTAAAGGATCTGTGAACTGTGGTGACCATGGAGAGTTGTCTGTTCGAGTTGTGTGAAACCAGTCATTTCGTATTTGCTCAGTGCAATACTGGTGTATAACTGGAATACATACAGCAAAAGTATTTACCACAGGAAGTTTAGAACTATTCTTATACAGAATTGTTTGGCAGAGGAAAAATCAGAGGTTGAAGAGAAATGCTTTTCTATATTTTAAATATTACATATTTATGCAATTTCCTTCCATACTAAAGAATTTATTTAGGAAAAAAAATGACTGCTACAGTGTAGAATCCAGAAGCTATTACTGCAGTACTGCTCTCCATTCAAGTTACTCTGCACAGGAACAGGACTTGATTTGTATTCAGAATAAGAAACCAAAGGGAAAAACATCAATTACCATCTAAACTATGTTTAAAGGAGCAGAATGCAAATTTAGTGCAAATACCATATGCTGCTACTAAGTCCCTCACTCCTGCACTGCTAGCTCTACTTGTTGTCCTGCCATATCAAATACAGGAGGAGGAAATTCTTAGGCATGCAGCCAAGTGCTCTGCTGCTGCTCTGCAGATGGATATCTTGAAAACCTCACACAGGATATCGTTAACTGAAGTAGAAAGATGGATCCAAGTCTCAGTTACAGACACAGGCAAGGCTTTCTGAAAATATCTAATGCAGTTAATGATGAAAAGTCAAACACTATTTTCAAAGTGCAAAGCACTGCTGCCAAAACAGGACACTGGCAATCTTGTATACTCAAGAAGCAAAAGAAGCTCCCAACCATCCACCCAACCCCCAGCTGATTCATTTTCAGTTCTATTCCTGTGCCAGTTTATAGGAAAGGAAATACCAGATGCCTGTTACAGCCTAGGAGTAGCAGCAGGAAATGGGCTACTTACTTATTCAACCCCTTTTTATACTGCCCTCCAATGAAACATTTCCAGGGCAGCTCACAATGGTTGCAAAATAGAGTAAGATATCAAAAAGAGTCGACAACAGTAAACAGCAGCTCTAAAATCAATCAAAGCAGTCTCTCCCACTCCCTCCCTCTCTCAATTTCAGAGATTAAACATCTGGGAAAATAAATTGCCTTTGTTTGGAATCACAGCTACTTTTTCCAGGTTAGACTCCCTGGGGAGTCAGAAACTTTCCACAAGCAGGGTGTTTGTGGCTGCCCGGCTCATTTCAGACAGAAAGGGCACCTGCAGAAAGATAATCTCTGCAGATCTTAGGGCATAGCATGGGCAGCTTGATCTAAGAGATGTTTAAAAAGTAAATCTACAATGACTCTCAAGTACCCCAGCAAAATGCAGTCTGATGATGACTTTTTCTTGGCTTTCTACAGCAAAATGTGGACCAGTGAAATGGTCACAAGCGCAATCTAGATAAGGCACAATTTATTTAACACCCATTTCAAATTATGACACAAGGTCAGCCAGCCCTAGATAATATGTTAGTTGGTTCACCAACCAGGCATCTACCACCCCTATTTTTGTAGATGCTCCAGGCCCACCCTGTATCAAGAACTACTTCTGGATGCAGTTCAGCAATGATATTCACTTCAGCTTGTAGCAAGCTGCTATCCTGTCTCAAAAAGTTATTATAAGTAGACAAATGAAATAACTCAATGACTCCCCAAAGCTTCTGGGGAAAGGATGGGATATTGTCTTAAGGGCTTCAGCCCCAACTGAGCTCTACTCTAGCAACTTTGCACTTGACCTGTTCTGGGAACCAGGCATCTTTTTTCCCTAGAGGCGAATGATCATGTGTAGGCAACTCCTTGGCCAGCTCATCAAAGTCTAGACCCCAGAAAAAAGTTCTGCTGAACAAAACAGGAATGAGAAGGCAACAGCTGGCCCCATTTATCAAAATTAAGATAATGATACCGGAACATACATTATTTTTCTGGTTGAGGCAAGCTGCAAGAAGTGAGACAATGGATAAGTGAATGTGCATCATGGCTAATGATTCTCATGACTTTAAACACAAGACTTAAAATTGAAGGCCCCCAGCTGCTAAAGTGGTAAGAACAGAAGTTTTAACTCAGGAAAGACACCTATAATGCATAATAATATGGCACAATCTGAACAACCTAGAGGCCCAAGCACAGAAGGAAATTTACATACCCTTACAAAATTAACTCATGCGTTAAACTATTTTACATTCAGAAGCTTGTTACTTGAAAAACAGGAGTGTTCCCAATATCAACAGGTCAAAAAGCAGCAAAATTGGTTAGAGAGTAAAAAGTCTACTGAACGAAC